GGCTCAGATGAAGAGCGTGTGTGTCTGAGACACTGGAATAATTCCCCCCAGGAGCCAGTTCTGGTATCTTGGTGGTAATGTCTTTTTTCTGTAAGTGTAGAAATGCTGCTGTGCACAGTGCTGTGCATCAAACTCTTGTGTCCCCTGAATGAGAGTGATTTTACTTGTTTAATTAACACATGCCACTTCATCTCTTGGATACCGTCATTACTGTGTTTGTACAGCGCCCGGCTCAGCAGGACTCAGCCTGGCTGAGGCGTGCAGCAGGTCCTGCAGTGTAAATACAAAGTGCTGATGCAAGGCACTTAAGGCATAGTTTTTCCTTCAGAGTACAGAAGGAATTCGAGAGATTTTTCCAAAATCACGTATTTAAATGCGTAAGTCAGTCTTTGTTGGGTTTACAAAAGGCAGCATATTTCCTGAAACTTGAACTTTTGACTGTGAGTGTGTGTTTAGCTGGTAAAAGTAAAGCCTTGGTTGTATCTGTGCATAGCGACCAGCAAAAGTAACCGGTGAGCCCCGGTCGTTGCTGTGTCTGAGCTGTCAAAGCTGTTGCTGGTGTATGGACTTGCCCTGTGGGGACATCACTGGGTTGTATGGGTGACCCTTAGCTCACTGGGAAATAAAGCCAGGCTTTCCATTTCAATCTTAGCATCTCATAGTTTTCCTAAAGTTCTGTTAATATTTAAATTGATCTTAAATAACGTCACAAGAAGTAGTACGGGGGGGGGGGAAAGAGGGGTGGGGTTGGTTTTAATCCTGTGCTGGTAGCTTATGCAGCAGACCTGAGCTCTTTCCCAAACAAGATTAGGTTTAGTTTCTGATACCAGTAGTGTTGATTTCTAATCTGAGAAATAGCTTCTTACCTCCTACTCTGCTAAATTTTGTTGACAGGAGTCCCAATAATCATGAAAATACTTTTAAAGAACAGAAATACCAAAGGCGCATAGAGTTACTATAGCAGCTTATTGTTGGATTTTCTACACATGAAGTTTATTTCAATGAATGTGGCTAATGTGTGAAATAAGCTACAAAATAAAGTATGAGAAGGTAAAAATGAATGTTATGAAGGAATTACTTAACAAAATGGATGCAATTTTGCGAGGTACAGTGTGTTTGAATGAATGAATTTGGACTGATGTAGATGCTGCTGGATCTCTTTCACTTGCAAAGAATTGCAGTGTAAGAACTTAGCAGAAATAGTGAATCCTCTCAATATTTTTTTGTGATTAATTAATATTTTTTCTTATGCGTGTGTAAACCGAGGCTCAGAAAATTGACTTTTTGGTCCAAGTTGTTACAAAGCCAAGTATGGAATCTAGAGGATGTTGTCTATCAGCCTTGCTGTTGAGCAAGTGAGCGACGTCTCGTTTCTTGAAGAAAACGAAATAGCGGGTGATGAGAGCGCTGAGAGCTCAGTCCTGCCTTGCGGTTGTTGGTGCCATTTTCCAAAGGTTTCTGGAGTAAGAGCAGGATCTATAAATCTTACCATTATCTCATTAAAAGCAACCAAATGTTTGGGACTAGGAGATAGCAGGGCTTGAAACGCTTATTGGTTTCCCTTGGAGTAAACTTGGAGCTGTTGTTGACTGTTCAAAGGGAGCCACATCCAGCTCTCCTGATTGGAAAAACATGGATGGGGAGAAAATGCCAAGACCCGTAGCTGCCTTCTGTCTCTGGCACCAGTGTCAAAACAAAACTTTGTATGAAATTAGGGTTTTAAGGTTTGTATCTCACTGATGTCGGTAGGAAAGCAAGAAATGGAACCAGCAACGTACCTAGCCCTCGCGGGGCTGGAGCTGAGGAGCTGCCCCTGCTTGCCTCTGTGTCCGCGTGTGTAAAGCTGTGCTTTTTTACATATTTTAAATACATTTCCTGCCTTGGTTCGAAAACTTCTTGCGTAGACAGAGGTCAGACCTCCTGTGTTTAAACAGAAGAAATTACATAGGTTTATGCAGTTATTTCTCATTCATTCATTGATATTTAACGACCGCTATGGGTCCAGCTTTGTGTGAAACTTGCTGTCTGCGTCCCTGCCTTCTAACAGTGACTTGGAAAATCTCTTTTCAAGGATAAGTAGGGGCCTTAAAAGTGAAATGGTGAAACTCAAGAGCCTAAGGACACTTGATGGGCAACGTCTTTCACTTGTGACACACTAATAACAGACTGAACCCCTTGGTCTTTGGGCTGAATTTAGTGTGCTCGCTGCAGCTGTTAGTAAGCAACTGCTTGTTAAACTGTGAGGTATTTTCCTTTGAAAAGTATTTCAGTCATGCTTGTCATAAGTAGAATTTGGAAGTCATTTTAAGTAGATCCTCTTCCAGACTTGACCCAGAACTTGGGCAATGGAATGGAAAAAGCTCATGGCCTTTTTACAGAGCTCGATTCTTGAAACAAATTGGCCTAAAAGGTGGGTTGCTGGAGAGGACTTAGAGCAGGGACCTGGTGGCAGGCGCCTGGGAGGCGAAGGCGGTTGTGATGCCCAGGAATGTCAGTTGTGGAACTAGTTTGAGCAGCTTTTGGATGGCTTCATTGTTTGTGCTGCGCAGAGCAGGGTGGCTTGGCAATGAGCAGCTTCGCCATCGCCTCCCCAAGCCCGTTTCAAGTTACGTTGTCCGTGGACTGTAGGAAAATCGCTGCTTGGGAGTTCGTCGTGCAGCAGACGTTGAGTGGCGGCGGGCAAACGCTTCGCTTCTTGCCAGGTTGGGGCACACCAGCGCAACAGCTTCAGCTGCAGTTTTGGCTTCTGCTGTACTTCCACAGGAAAGACCCTTAGTGCTCTGTCAGTAGCCAGAACAAGACCTGCCCATCTGCATTTTACTCCTTATGTATATAAGAAAGAAGTTGCAATGTCCTGTTGTCAAGGTCTACTTTCTAAACGCTCATTTTAAGGCAAAGCAGAGGGGGCACCCCAGTTTGTGCTGTAAGTACACGCAACTCATGGCGATGAGTAAAAACTGGTCCTTCTATACTAGTAAGCTAGAGGACTTCAGAACTGGTAAACACCTTTGCTCAAAGCTTCCTACAACAGGCTGAGCCCGCAGGTATGGTTAAACCAGAGAACGTGCGGGCGGTTAATTGCTTAGTATTGTAATTAGATAAGAGTAATATTATTGAATGCCACTTGGCTGGTCAGGGATGCCACGGACAAACGAACTGGACCGAGTCCAGAATGATGCTGTGAGAATACTGGAAATGAAAAGCAGAAACACTGGCTTACAAAGGATCACAGGTGTAATTAATTAAAAATAAAATAAAAAAAAAATCAGAATACAAGCTTGACAGATCGTTTTTCCCGTATGAACGTGTTACTTTACTGAATCCTTTAGATCAAACATGTGAAGTGTGAAGTTACTGGAACAGTATTGACTTCACCGTAGTGCAGTTTAACTCCTTGTTATGTTCTTTGAACCAAAATTAGGCTATAGTAGAGAATGATACTGATCCACTGGATTTGAAGTTAGGTAAGGAAGTAATTGTCCAGTGTTGAAACTGAGGTCCGTGATTTAGGGATTTTTATTTTTAAGCTGAAATTCCAAATGCAGAGTGACAGTTTTAAGTTTACCTCTGCTCAAATCTGCCTGTGTAGGGTACCGTCGATCTGCATAAGGGCTGTATTCACTTGGTAGTACTGGAAACAGCACGGACAGAAGGGGGTTCAGGAAAGCGGCACCTCAAAACCGAGCCAGTTGGGTGAATCCGCAGATGCAAAATTGGAACCCCAATTAAAAGTCACATTTTATGTTTTACAAAAACCTGAGGATTTCAGTGAGTTCCAGGGAAAACTGACACTTCCAGGGCCCTGGTCTCTGGGTGGCCACATGCGAAAGTCAGGTTGAAGTAGGCAAGCAAAACATTGTTTTCAGGGGGTTCCCATGGTTTGGTGTCATTGCTTAAAACAAACGAAACCCACTTCTTCAGCGAGGCTCCTTTCCTTATTGATTCAAGGGTGTGTTTCCCAATTGTTTTAACCACATAGCAGTTGGCTGCGCCCGGCTTTCCCCGGGTATGGGACGCGGCTGGGTGTCTCCCCGCGTGTGCTCCCTGCAACACCTGGAGCTCTGTCCGATTCTGATGAGCCCCTGCGCAGCTCCGTGGCAGGTGAAAGCCGGACTCGAGCTTCCTGTGGTTTCTGAGCAAGGAAGTCTTGCCATTTCTCTTGCCCAAGCAGTAGCTCGTTTTCTCATTTGCTTTTTAAAATCAGCATCAAAATGGGGTTAATTTGCTGTTGGCTTCTACTATCTCATTGCTCCTGCAGTTGTAACGCAGACAAAAATCCAGTGACTTCAGTCCAGTGGGAATAGTAGAGCTGTGCACAAAAGCAACTTGTATTAAAAACGCCAACTTTTGCTGCGTTCCCTAACACACAATTTAGCATACGCATGCTAAAGGGGGTTCAGACCTGCAAGTGGCAATAGTTTTGCAATAACTCAGACCTATAAGGCTGCCTTTTCCCATGTCTTTTCTCTCTGCAGCCATCCTGGGCCAGGTGACGATCTACAGTTGGCTTCTCCCCTTGATCCTTCTGAGCAACCCTTAGCTGTTTCTGCGGCATATGGAAATGTTGACCCCGCGGATGCTGCTGAGCTGACTGCAGCAAGGTACTGTACAGAGCATCGCAGCTGGAGCAGCGGGGAGCAGCGGCAAACTGCCTACTGCTGCGGGCGGGTGGAGCGGCACGGAGGTCAGCGCTAGCTAAGGAATTGCTGTCACTCTTCTTGGATGGCTGGCTGGGATGGCCGGTTGCTGATGGGTTTGCCAAGTCTGTCTGTAGTCAGTGGAGCATCTGTCAGTGGAAATCTTCACCGGAATTTAAATCTTCCTCTATGAAAACCTTCAAAGGAAGGTGTTGTTTACCTTTCCCTGAGGTTGAATCACTTTGGCACATAGGAGGGTCACGCCATGTGAAGGTGCAATGTCTGCCTTATATTTTTTTAGGTGCTTAAACTTTTTTTTTTATTAGTACAAGGTAACTGATCTTTTGGGCATTTTCTTTAATCTTGAGAAGATCCTTAACAGTACAGTGCTGATTATAAAGCATTCAGGTGTCTCATCTCTGTTGGACACTGGGCTTTTTGTCTGCTTTTACGTGCGCTGAGAAGGGAAGCTGTTGCTTTATTTGTGCTGGTGGCAGTTGGGTTGTCAAGATCTTTGGGCTTATGAGTTTGTCTTAGCTGCCAACAGCAGAGGAAGCTTTATAGGGCGTGTTTACCCTTCAATCACTGTGAATTCAGTGGAGTGTAAACATACACAATTTATTTAAGCTAGCATTAAATTGCTTAGCTGAAGTGGCAATAATATGCTACCCAAGGCAGAAAGGAGCTTGGGTGGTTTGCTCAATCCACCTTAAAAGCTGGGTGACTTTGCTGTTTAGCCTGTACTGGTCTTCCATCAGTCCCCAAGCTGGTTAGTCGCTAATGCTGGCTGAGTCAATCTGTGAGAAACAAACTTTTTCCTGTGGTCGGGCTAAGATGATCTAGAGGGGCTTACAGTGGGAAGCTAATGATGCAGATTTCTTCCAGTTCTTGTAAGTTTTTACTCAGGGAGTTGTGTTTCTTTGTTTTTAACAAATGTAATTGGGTTACTGATGGGGTTTTGTGGATTCTGTTTTTTCTTGCTAATGGATTGTTGGCCACAGTAGCAAGGCAGTTGGAAAAGAGTGAGCAGTAATTGAGGTGGAGCTATGAGCTACTTTCTGAATGCAGAGGAATGAAAAAAGACTAACACTAAAAGTGCCGGGAAGATTTATATATGGTCTCTGGACTACAGTCTGAAATAGAAGACTCTGTTGCCCTTGGGGTGATAGTTTGCTGTTTGTAGGGAACAAGGCACACAAACTGCCTGTGATTAAATGTCACCTTAGGAAACATTTAGGAAGAACAGTCTTAGAGTGTTTTAATTTACTGCTTCTTGCAAACCTCATGAATTCACACTGTTCACATTCTCATCTGGATCTGGAATTTTGAGTTAATTATATTATACCTTTTATTTTGATCTACTTCATAACTTCTGTCTTTAAAATGTTTTCACCGTTAATGTCCAAAAGTTAGTCTCAGAGTTCCTTGCTTCATCCCAGTTGCTGCCAGCGCTGGTGCTGAGCTGCAGTTAGCCCACACAGGGTGGCTGAGCCCAGTAGGGGTGAGGGCATGCAGGCCGTGCAGCAGCCACAGGATCTGGCTCTTGTTTCCATATCCTGACCTTGATGAAGGTGCAAGGATTTTTGCAAGGGTTCAGTGCCAAAAAGTTGCAAACAAGGGGTATTCCGCATGGAAGTAGGTAGTTTTTCAGCTCCTGAAACAGAGGAAGGTGAGAGAGAAATACACTGTCGTCAGCTGGAGTGAATCTGGCTGCAGGTGGTTCGCCTGTGTTTGTTGGTTTAAATTTTTTTCTCTGTTTTTTTTTTTAAAAAGCTGCACAAGTTAACTCTTGTCAGTATTGTTTGTTTTTCTTAATCCTTTATTTTGCATTCTTGTTCAGCTTTAGAGGTAAAAGCCTACCTGCTCTCCTTGCACCTGCCTTTCCTGCCCAGGCTGTTGTTGCATGCCAGCTTCTCTGTGAGCCTTGCAGAGGTGTTCCCTGGTGTCCCAGCAGTAGAAACGCAGCAGCTCCCACGTGTGCCCACCCGCAGAAGCAGCTGATGGGCAGAAGAGGGGTTAATATCAGCGCAGCTGGACCCCTGCTTTAGCTCCTCTCTGAAACAGGCATGGGCAACTCTCTTCCAGCAGTAACAAACACTGCTGACTTCTCTGTGGTTTGGTCAGACCTAAACTGGTAACAACATAATGCTAATAGCAAATGAAAGTAGTGCTTTTAAAATGTGTGGGATTATGCTCACGATGAGGATCAGTAGTAGTAGGACTGGGCTTTTCTTATCCAAGGGAAGAGTTTCAGTGACGTTTGTTGTTCCATGTCATTGCCTTATCCCTCATCTTCTCTTCACTTGTGACGTGGAGCAGATTCTTGCCTATATAAGATGATCATATTAAAGCCGCTGTTTTTTTGGCATTTTGTGTAGAAACACTGCACCACTACTTTTCAATATGACTGCAAAAAAATTCTCTAGTGCACACATGTGTCATGTCGCCGTGTCGATGCTTTCTGGTTATGCCTGTGCACTATACTTTTGAAATGTTACCAGGGCTATTAGGTGGCATGATGCTATTCCAGTCTGCCTGCAGTAAAGTACAATTATAAGTTTGGTTTTCCCCCCCAATATATTTAGTTATTTACTAATGAGTTCCTTTTGTTTCCATGTATTTCCCCATCAGGGGTGTCATAAATGCAGATGGCATGCACTTTGACAGGGAAAAATAATGGTGCATATAAGGCAGGGGTCAGTTTGTGCTAAATGTCTTCCAGATGGCAGTGCATAATAAGAGATCAGGTTGTCCCTCCATCTGTCCAGTCAAGAAACTGTATCTTTGTTTTGCTTCTTGAGGGTGACTGACTGCCTCTCTCCTGCTCTGCTGATTACGTATTGATCAGGGACAACATGGTATCATCTGCTCAGTAAGTAGATTTTATTTACTGTATCTACAGAGGAGTGCCCTGAAAAGAATTAGGTAAAAAGTTCACTGGCTGTTCTGCCAAGCATTTTTGTTTAGCAGTGAAAGTGGAAGGCCAAGTTCACTCTGATTTGCCAGTACACATTGCACTAGGAGAAATTTTGGCTAGACACATCTTTCTCTTTATGCTGCAGGTGCAGAGCTCTGCAACAGGACTTCCGTTTTATATGAGGAATGTTTGGATTGGAAAGGCAGAGAAGTGCCCCGGCTGTACGAGACCGCAGCTTAGCTGGGCTCCATGGTTAGAGGTGTGAAACGCTTCTGAGCAGCGGCTATCTGTTCCCCGCAACTTGCTGGCTGTCTGGTGGGCAAAAAACCTCCAAGTGCCCAGGACAAAGTGGCAGCTGGGAAAGCACTTGCTGCATGAGTTGTCTTTAGGGTCAGGCCATAGGTAACAGGCAGGGCAACCCAATCTTGTCCCTTCCACATGCTCGGGAAAGCTTCTGCTCTTGCATTTAATCTGCAGCTGAGGTTGTGGAGCTGCAGCATGGCGTTTAGTCTAGAGCAGGCAGAGCTGTCGCAGCTCTGTCGTGAATACTAGGGAATGAAAGCTGTTCTAAACCTGAGTTGGCATCGGAAAATGCTGTGTTCCCCTGCATCAGCCTCTGTCCCAGCTCCCTTTATGCAGAGGACACATTAAACTGTCCTAAGGGAATTTGTGGTAGGTGATGTTGGATGCGCTACAAGCTGCGTGGCTTTATCTGCAGATGGACCTTTCCCGATCACATAGTTCACAGCCTGGGGAGCTGTGGTGCTCTCAGGGTGTGCTCCTCAGCGTTAGCAGCACCAGCAGGCAGAAATACCCAGGGTTGTCCGTATACACAGATGGTCAGAAAGTGACTTTTGAGAATTACTTAAACAGAGATGGAGCTTTAAAAATGTTTGTTTTCTAATCAGCTTGACTCTACAGGATAAAGGCTGGCCAGCGTATACTTTATTGTGCACTGGGAAGACTTAGCCCTTTTGGTAATATCCTTGCTACAGCCATTAGAATATTACTTGTTGGAAAATAAGTTTAGTGGCAAGTCTTGTTTTAGTAACAGCTGCGGAGGGGCAGAGGTTTTAATGTAGCCACTTCGTGTCTGAGCTGATGCAAGTACCACGAGTTGATACACGTACCGGAGGTGATCAGACTTAGGGTGGATTGATTAAAGCGGACGCAAAGTCTGTGCTTTGGACAGGGTTGCTGTGCTGTGCTACCCTGCCTCAGTTTGTGCAGTCTGTACCATTTCTGAGCTGCTCTGCTTCTGCCTTGTCCCTTGCGAGCTTTTCATGGCACCAGCGGGCAGCACCCGTCTGCAGGTAATGCCCATGTGGTGATGGGCAATAACCAGTAGCACTACGCTGTTGCAATTCTACCTGCAAGCCACGCTGAACAGTGCCAAAATTATGATGTGGCAGTATTAGCCCCGGACCTGGCGTGATTAGTCTTGCAACCTACTTTTCATGGCCTTGCTCAACGCTCCTTGGTACTGTGGAGCCCTTGCCAGAGCGACAGCAGTGGGGAGAGGGGTGGAGGCTGCCCGTGGTTCCCGGTCCGACGGGCCGCCTTCCCAGGTGGAGACCTCCCGGTACTTGTGCTGGTGCCAGATGTCAGAGAAAATGCGGGTACCAACTGCGTTTCTGCCGTGTTCCTTTGCAAGCTCACTTGCACAAGTAAGGCAGCTGACTCTTGGCAGGCACGGTCTTTGTCGGAATCCAGTATTTGACGGTTTAAATGAACCTTGGAAAGATGAAGGGAAATAATTTGTGGATTTTAACACATACAGCTCATAAAAGTAAGCCCTGTGCTTTGTGACGGCCCGGGAGCAGAGCTCGTTGAAAAATGCCTGTATTTTGATAGCTAGTTTTGCTTTGCAGAGAGCGTTCGAAATGGCATTAGTCAAAGTCTGAAAGTCTGAAAATGGTTTCATTTTATGTGGAAGGACTTGAAGGGGGAAGCTGAAGGGCTGCAGGCGGGCAGTGGGGCCTGTGCGAAGGGAGGGGGCGAGAGGGGAACAGGTGCTGCTGTGAGCAGTTAACTGCGACGCGCTGAT